TCATGTGTCCTCCTTGAGGGGCTCTGCCAGCTGCCCAGAGGCCTTTACAGCATTGAATTGCCAGACAGTCATACCAAAGTACTGATACCAGAGTACTGATAATCAGGGGGCTCACCAACAGCCACAGGTTGTCTCACAGTTCTGGGGACCAGAAGACTAATATTCAGGGTGTGTCAGAGAAAGGGTTCTATCCTCTCCTTGATGAGCTGCTCACTGACATTTGTGAAGGTCAAAAGAGCCCGCAAGCTCTACCTTCCTCTTCACCCATGTGCATGTCTCTCTGTCCCAATTTCCTCTTTCTAGAAGAACAACAGTGATCTTGGACCGAGCCTCTCCTAGTGACCTCATTAAGTCTAACCAATTTCACCTGCAATAACCCTAGTTCCAAATAAAGTCACATTCGGAGGCCCCAGGGATTATGATTTTTTAGATTGATTTATTTGAAAGGCAGGTTTACAGAGAGAAGAGACAGAAAGATTTTCCATCTCTTGGTTCATTTTCTGAAGACTCAATGAAGCTCTAGGAGCTTTTTTTGGGTCTCCCATCTGGGTGGCAGGGTCCAAGTATTTAGTTTATCCTTTGCTGCTTTCACAGGTGTATCGGCATGGGCAGGATCAGAAGTAGAATGGCTTGGAGTTGAACTGGCACTCACATGGGATGCTAGCTAGCGTTACAGTAGTAGCTTAACTCACTATGCCACAAGGCCATCCCAGAACATGGGAATTTCAGAGTAGCATGATTCAACCCATAACTCTGGATAGGCACAATTGAGGGAAACTTCTGAAGAACTAGAACTGATCTCATAGGCTATGAGTAGAATGATTTATTGTTGCTCCTGAACCAAATTAGGTAAGAAATGTTTTTACTCACCCTTGTTCACATCTTTATTTACTTTTTGATTGGAAAGTCAGATATACAGAGAGGAGGAGAGAGAGGAAGATTTTCTATTCGCTGGTTCTCTCCCCAAGTGGCTGCAATGGCTGGAGCTGTGCGATCTGAAACCAGGACCTTCTTCTGGGTCTCCCACATGGGTGTAGGGTCCCAAGGCTTTGGGCCATCTTTGACTGCTTTCCCAGGCCACAGGCAGGGAGCTTGATGGGAAGCGGGGCTGCTGGGACACAAACCAGAAGTGCACATATGGGATCCTGGCACGTGCAAGCCTCGCTTATGTCTTAGAGAAGTATGTGATTTTGGGTCCAGCGTGGTGGCATGGTGGCATAGTGGCTAAAGTCCTTGCCTTGAACGTATTGGAATCCCATATGGACACCAGCCGTTGTCACTTGGGGATTGAATCATCGGATGGAAGATCTTCCTCTGTCTCTTCTGCTCTATATATATCTGACTTTCCGATAAAAATAAATAAATCTTAAAAGAAAAGAAAAACATGCTAAGGGTCTTGCACAGGGCAAGACATCTGAAGGCAAGAAAGGAACTGCATTCTGGGGGTGTCCCAGAGGGCCAACATGTTACAGCTTTTGCTGCCCCCTACAGGTGGCAAATAACCCCAAATAGCACACCTTTTTACTTATTCTCAGGTATTTGAAAACAAGAGAGGGAGTGAGTGAGACAGAGAAAGCCATGTCCCATCCTTGGACTCAGTCCTCGAGGGGCCACAGTAGACAGGGTTGGGCCAGGCCAAGGCCAGAAACAGTGAACTCAATCCAGGTCTCTGTGAGTGGCAGAGACTCAAATCATCACCTGCGGCCTCCCAGGGTGAACGATTAGCAGCAAGTCAGAAACAGAAGAGCCACGATCAAACCCAGGCAGTCTGACACGGGATGCACATGTCCCAAACAATGCCTTACCTGCTGTGTCATGCACCTGGCCCAGGCGCCCCCCCCCCCCAAAGTTGTTCAGAACATACGTCTTTAAAAAAAAAAGTACCGGGGCAGATGCTTAGCCTAGGAGTTAGGACATCTGTATATTTCACTGGGCTGCTGGGGTTCAACCTCCAGATTTGCTCCCTGCTGAGAGTGCACCCCCATTGCCTAGGAGGAAGGTGGGACTTCAGTCCCACAAGTGAAATGTGATGACCAGTGCATTTGGAAGAGGACACCAGGGTGCCTGCAGTTCCAGCAGCAGCCCTGGTCAGCACCTGGCTGACTCCCCAAATGCTTGCAGAAGCCAGGACATGGATAGGCAGAGGTGAGGGGAAGTTGAGTCACACTGATGCTGAGGAGTCCTGGCAGAGACCATTTCCTGCTGCTGTGCATCCCTACTGCACCAGCTAGCAGAAGTCAGAGAGCCTGGGAAGCTTGTTGAAATGGTGCACACAGCTTCCTGGGGCCGGGGGGTAGTGCAACAGCAGGATGAAGGCGGCATGGACTTGAAGGGTCATCTGAGAAATGCCTGGCAACTTACAATGATCCACTGAGTAAGGACTGAGGCAGAACTACCGAGCACTGGAAGCCTGTGGGGGAGAGACAGAGTGTAATACAGTTATAGCTCAGCTACAACAGGAAGCGAGAGTTGAAGGCAGTCCCAAAACCTGCAGTTCAGGTTAGCTGGGACTATGGAGATAAACCAAAACAGCTCAAAATGAGTAGTTTGGGAAATAAAGTTAAGGACATTTTAGGCCTTGTAATACTGATTTAAAGAATGGGGAGACATAAAGATCTTCCATTCACTGGTTCACTCCGCAAATGGCTGCAACAGCCAGAGCGGAGCTGATCCAAAGCCAGGAGCTTCTTCTAGGTCTCCAACATGGATGTACAGTTTCAAGACTTTGGGTCATCCTCCACTGCTTTCCCATGCCACAAGCAGAGACCTGGAAGGGAAGTAGAGCAGCTAGGACACTCACTGGTGTCCATATAGGATGTGGCACTTGCAGGATAAGAATTTAGCCACTGATTCATGGCACTGGCCCCAATACTGATTTTAAATGTGTGCATTGATAGGAGTAGATGGCAGTACCTGGGTCCCACATCCAGCTCCAGACTACAGCTTTCTGCTATTGCAGACCCTGAAAGGCAATGGACCTGGACCAGGTGGGGTGCTGCCATCCACATGGGAGACCTGAATTGTATTCTCGGCCTCAGACTTCAGCCCAATCCACCGCTGGTCATTGCAGACATTTGGGAGAGCAAACCAGTTGAAGGGAACACTTTAAGACACTAGAAGATTACTCAAGAAGTAACAGTGCTTACGTCTGCAGGGCTGGAAACAAGAAAATCCAACAAGTTTTTTTTAAAGATTTATTTTTATTGGAAAGGCAGATCAGTTTCTACGGAGAGAAGAAACAAAGATCTTCCATTGACTGGTTCACTTCCCAAACAGCCGTAATGGAGCTGAGATGATCTGAAGCCAGGGGCCAGGAGCTTTTTCCACTGTCTCCCATGTGGATGCACGGTTCCAAGGACTTGGGCCATCCTCTACTGCTTTCCCAGGCCATAAGCAGGGAGCTGGATGGGAAGTGGAGCAACCAGGACACCAACTGGCACCCAAATGAGATCCCGGTGCTTATAAGCTGCGGATTTAGTCAATTGAGCCACTGTTCCATGCCTTTTTTTTTCTTTTTAAATATTTATTTATTTCAAAGTCAGACTCAGAAAGAGAGGGAGAGATAAAGAGAATCTTCCATCCACTGGTTCACTTCTCAAATGGCCACAACAGCTGGGGCTGGGCAAAAATGAAGCCAGTGGCTTCTTCCTGGTCTCCTGCAGTACAAGGGCCCAAGCACTTGGGTCATCTTTTTCAGCTTTCCCAGGAGCTGGGAAAGAAGTGAAGCAGGCAGGTCTTGAACTGACACATGTATGGGATTTCATCATTGCCGATTACAGATTTACTTGCTATGCCACCATGCTAGCCCCTAACTTCCCTTTTAAAAAAGACTTATTTGAAAGTAGAATGACAAAGAAGGACTATCTTCCATCTGCTGGCTCACTCCCAAATGGCTGCCAACTGCCAGAGGCCAGGAAGAAGCCAGGCGTCTGGCGTGCCACCTGGGTCTCCCTGTGAGTTACAGGTACCCAATCACTTACTTGAGCCATCTTCCATGCCTTTCCCAGGTGCATTAACAGGAAGCTGGACTGGAAGCAAAGCAGCTGTGACTTGAATTGGCATGGCAGTTTGACAGAATGCCAGTACACCACAAGGCCAGCCTCCGCTGTTTTATTTAATACAACCCTGTACTGTAATTTTTTATAGTATGATTGTTAGTATCTTAAAGAACTAGTCAACTGAATATAACTGTTAAAATCAGAAGGGTTTAGGTAGATCCACTGATTTATAGTGGGTTAATGACCAGAAACGTGACTTCATGGAGCCTCAGCTAGGATTCTGTATTTCTTTGAATAGTTACAGATCCTCACCACTATAGAAGCCCAAAACGATGGACCATAGAGACCAGGTCACTCCCTGTGAGAGAGCCCAAATGAGAAAATAACTGCCCAGCCAAGTAACTATTGGAAACTACCACATTCTGGAGTGTTTTGCTATGTAAGACTACCTAACTGTGGTGGTATGGTGAGTTAATACACCACCTTCAATGCTGGCATTCCATGCAGGTGCTGGTTCCAGTCTTGGCTGTTCCACTTCGAATCTAGCTCCTGGGAAAGCGACAGACTCCTGGTTTCAGCCTGGCCCAGCTGCAGCCATGATGGCCTTTAGGGAATGAACTAGCAGGTGAAAGATCTCCCTCTCTAGTGCTGCCTTTCACAACCAAATAACTCACAATTCTAACGAGGTGAAAATTTCCCTTTGAATATTTAAGCAATGTTAGAGTTATAAGTTAAATAAAATTATTTGTAGGAACAGAAGGAATGCAAAGGTTAGAAGTTTGCAGCAGTTCCTGCTCTCCCCTGCACACGGCTTCTCTGCACTGCAGAGTCCTTCTTCGTTTCACAGCACACTATCATCTGCACCTTTTCACAGTAAAGAAAATCCTTTACTCACATGATAAGAGCCCAGAGACTGGAACCCAAAGTAGTCAGATTCACATGAACGAATGAAAGAATGCTAGCAGACTACCTTCAAGGACTGATTTTAGGAACACCTGAGTGTCTGCTGACACAAACCTTCTATTTATTGACATGACTAAATGTGCAGGAATAGAAACGAAATCTATGTTACTGAAAAAGCGAACTTCAGGATCGAGGTCATTCCATATAACTAATAACTTAACTATGAATACCAGGGGGCCAGAGAAATCCCTAAACTAGCTCTCCTGAGTTCCGGTCTCAGAGAAAAGGTCAGAGAGACGGGGCTGAGGAAGGGGCTTCATATTATCAGATCCGTTTCGGAGACACCGCGATCCCATGGGAGGGGGAAAGTCACTTCAGTCTTTCTTTTTATCGGAGATTTCTGTCGGTCCTTTGCTTGCTAATCCACTCGTGTCTGCTCCCTGAAAGGAAAACACGGCTTAGGACCCCGACATGCACAGTGCAGAACAGTGGCACTCCCAGTGCCCTGCGGGATGGCTCAAGTGACACAGGCCAACATGCAAACACACCTGAGGCTCAACCCGATGAGCTTCCATAGTAAAATTAAGCACACCAGTGGTGTCCGTCTTACAATTCCAGTTTGTTTTGACCACTTGACAAGGAACCAATCCCCATTCATCCCAAGGTTAGTTTGTGTTAGACCAAATCATTAACTACTTAAAATCAAACAAATGACTGGCACTTCTGGTTGCCTAAGGAAAGACAGGTGCCGTTCCATGCACCGCTCCCTCCCCCGACGCTGATGGCAAAAGTCAAGAGGGTTCTCACCTTACAGTCCACTGTGCCTTTAGCACCACTGGACTCCTGCAGTGCTTTTTTGGGCCATATCCGCCCCACGAAAGGGGAAACCAGCGGGTATAGGTACGGCTCCAGGAATTTCTTGTAGACCCAGAGCAGAATGGGAATGACAATGCAAGGAATGCACACCATTGTCCCAGGCTTTAGCTCCTAAATCTGTTGACTGAAGCGGAAAGAAAAAAAAAATCAGTTCATCACGGGTAACAGTCCAAGAAATTTACCTCTAAGGAATGTGAAAGGATCGCTTGTACACACACATACATAATTTGCCAGAAGCAAGAGCACACGGACATAAATACACTGCCACCTGCAAGGTGGCAGACAGGTAACAGCTTCCATGCATTTCCCACATCTGCTTCATGACAAAGGCACGCATCTGTACGCCCACCTCAGCAGGTGCGAAGCAAGCTGCAGATATTACCAATTTATAGAATCCTTCTGCAAAAAACCCACGAATGTTAACCCCCCTTTCTGCTAATCCTTCAGAACCAACCAAACCTCTTCAAAATCACCGGCGGTGTTGTGGGCGTTGAGGGGCTGACCAGCAAGTCCGCCATCACAAAGATTCACGTTTACCTTTGTTGTGTATCAGGGACGTGCACGCGCTACGGGCTGTCACCTCTCACCCACCACCTGCCGGCTCCCTTCACACGAAGCCAATCCCCAGTGTTTGTTGGGGTACCGGACTTCATGCATAGCAAAAACTGATAGGCGATTCCAGAAGAGGCCAGGGAGAAGCATTCTGAATGCGAGCAGTAACACTCAGTAAAGCGAGTAGAACGCTCTAAAACCGCAGCAGGGACAAAGCGAGGCTCCGTCAGCAGCGGGGCGAGCTCGTTTCGGTCAGCTCCCCGAGGCCCATGGGGGGAGTCACCGGCGAGCACGGAGCCCCGGGGCAGGCACCTGCCCATGGCGGGCTGCGGAGCCAGCGTACCGTGAGGGCCCAGGGAAGCCCCGCAGGCAGGTGTGCTGCTCGAGACCCGTCGCTGTCCCCGAACAGCCGCGGACCGAAGACACGGAGACCCCTCCCAGGCCCGGACCCACCCGGTGCCGCTCACCTGCGACGCCGAAGCCAGAGCCGTAAGGCTCCGCACTTCCGGAGGGAGGGACGAGCCGTGGCTGAGCCAATGGGCATCCCGGAAGGGCCGGCAAAAGCGCGCCTACGTCAGCCGAGGGCGCGTGGGACGTCACGGGGACGCCGGGACTTCCGGCGCCGCGGCTTCCCTGGATGCCGGGCGGAGAACCCCGGGGTCTTTGCGACCCTGGACGGCGGAAGCCTTCACCCGGTGGGTAGCCCGCACCACCGGCGCGGGGAAGGCTTCGGCGGTGCGGCTCAGCTGTTTAGGTCGTTAAACCAAAGCCCTTGATATCGGCAAGGTAGCTTGCATGGACCTTTCAGCCTCCATGCCATTGACAGATGGACCACCCTGGCGACCCCGTTGCTGCCCGTGTCGTTAACACAGCCGGATCGCATGGCGCAGGCCCCGCAGGAAGATACCCCACCACACCTAGGAGCACGCCCATCCCAAGGCCAAGGCCCCAGTTCACCCTGCCTCCAGCCTCAGAACCCCAACCTCCTCAGCCACCCCTCCAACATCACACCCATTCCCTCCACCCTGGAGTCTGCTCCTCTGAAGCCAGCCTTAACACAGCAAAAGCAGCTGCGATAGCAATGGAGACCCGAGTATGTCCATCATATATAGGATAGTCTTTTGCAATCCTAACCAACGGAGAAAAAGCAGCATGCTGTGAAAGCCAGGGACACAAGGACACGCAGCCACTGGCAGGGCCTGACAGCACCAGGTTCCTCTTCAGGGCCAAGAACTATCCCGTGACGGATGTAACCAGGCCTGCCTAAAGCTGTTGCATTGCAGATGCATCTGATGCATTTTTGAGGACACGAAACGTTAATAAAGACAGCAAAAAATGTTTTCATCGCATTTATTTAATGTTGCAAATTACTCCCGGGCCATAAGTTTTTGTTTCTTCAATTTCTTCTGGGAAATCTGGAAAAGAAAAACGAACCCATCAACACCCCCAGAACACCAGCTGCCTGGAAGTGGGGACAGCACAGCCCCATGCACTCACTGACCACACCGCCATGGTGAGGGGACAGCGCCGCCCAACCTGTCGACCATGGCACCCACCCCAGGGTTGCTCAGCAGAGTTTGTTTTCACGGCTATTCCAAAGGTGTCCTAAGATGTCCATCACTGCAACCCCACGTCGGCCTGCCCAGCTGCCCGCCCGCCGGCCCCAGCTCTTCCCTCACCTTTTTCTTCTGCGCCACCTCCTCCTCGGGCTTGGGGACGATCTGCTCCTTCTCAGTGAGGATCATCTCGATGTGGCACGGGGAGCTCATGTAGGGGTTGATGCGGCCATGTGCTCTGTAGGTGCGGCGGCGCATCTTGGGGGCCTTGTTCACCTGGATGTGCTCAATGACCAGGGAGTCCACGTCCAGACCCTGAGTGGACAGACAGCACCGTCACCACCATGCGGCAGCACCTTCTGGACTGCACCCTCATCAGTCCCTCCCCAACTGGCTCAGCAGGAGCGGGGTTCTACGGGGAAAGCCCAGGCACTGGAAACCTTCACCACAAGCGGAACTGCAGATCGGGGCCAGACGCGGCTCAGTAAAGGATGAGCCCTTGCTTTTTGTCAACCACCACTGCCAACTCCTTGCTTACTGCTCCCCTCCACATTTGGTCAATCTCCTCCCTCCAGAACCCACTGGTTAACACGCCCAGTAGAGGGGTCAGCACTGTTAGAGCAGGGTACCCGGCAGGCACAGACTACGCATCTACAGGGGCCGCCAGCAGCCGCTTACCTTCAGTTCAGCATTGCTCTCTGCGTTCTTCAGCATGTGCAACAGAAACTCGGCACTCTTTTTGGGCCAGCGCCCCTGGGTCCAGCCCCACTGCTTGGCCTGGAAGGAAAGCAAGATGACCCGTCATTATCCGGCCTGAAACTCGGCAAACAGGACAACATGCGCTTGACACGAGTCGCTCAGCATCACGTTTGATTTCACGGGCAATCCAAAGGTGTCCTAAGATTGGTCATCACAGCAACCCTGCGCGTCGCGGCCGCCCCGCGTGTGTGCCCTCGCGTGGAGGCCTCACCTGCGCGCAGCGGCCCACGCCGCCGTTGTACCGCCGGAAGGGCACGCACTGCTTCTTCAGCGTGACGTCCTTCAGGTACTTGGTGGCCTTGCGGATGTGCATGCCCTTGATGGCCTGCGCGGTCTCCCGGGTGTTCTGGGTGGCAAAAAGAGAACGCGTGAGAAACTTCGGGGCCTAGTGTAGGATGCCAACGCTACGTCTTCTCGGGAGGGGAGACAACACACACTTAAAAACAACACAACGTGGGGCTGAGCCAGGCGGCCGTCCTCAACCTCCACTCGTGCCCTGAACTTCAACCCCACGCGCGGGGCGGCCGCTCAGTCAAGGTTTCTTTTTCACGGTCAATCCAAAGGTGTCCTAAGAAAGCGCATCATCGCGGCCGCCCCTCTAACACGTTCACGGGATCCCCGTACCTTAAAGTGGACGCGCAGGTTCGAGCCCCTGGACTTGCATGCTGCAAAAAGAAAACGAGGAAAAACCCAGAGATGGGCGCGCGGGCCAGGCCGGCCTCTCCCCACGCTGCCCTCCCCGCGCGCACTTACACTTGGTGGGGTTCTCGGGGTCCAGCGAGTAGCGCACCATCTCGGCACGAGGTCACCTGCAAGGGGAGGGTGGTGAGGTCGGGCTCCGGCAGCCCAGGCCCGCGCGGGGCCAGCGCGCCCGGCTGCTGCTCAGACAGGAGCTGTTTTCACGGTTCATCCAAAGGTGTCCTAAGAGCGGCATCCTCGCAGCCTTCGCCCCCGCCCCCCCAACACCGGGGACCGCCGCCTCCGCCGGGCGCGCGCAGCCCTGCGGCCGCTCCCCACGGACGTGCCGGCGCCGGCCGCCCCGAGCCCGGGATGGCGCCGATGCGCGGCGGATTCCGAGCTCCGGGAGCCACGACGCACTCACCCTCACCGGGGCCGCTTCCAGGAAGAGGAAGAGCGAGGCCTTCTGGGAGAGTTCAAGACACCGCCAATTCTCGCGAGACTGCCCGCCGCCCGGCGCGAGATTTCGGGAGCGACGGGGCAAGGGAGCGTCGAGCAAGTGTGAAGACGGCCTGAAAACGAAATGCCGCCTTAGAGACCGTCTCAAAATCCTCTCTTTTTAAAAATCCAGACTGAAAGCTGCAGGTTTTGAGTTTAAAAACACAGGAACAATTCCAGCATAGGGTCATGCAGTGTGAAATATGAGTGACACATTTTATTTCCTCGTCAATATTCATTAGATTTGTATGATAGAATTCTGATAGTGGTTTGTAAATAGATGATTCACATGAAAAATGTGTTGTTGGTACTCGGGGACAGGGTCACCCAATCAACTGTGTGGTAACCCGTATGAGGACTGCGCCGATGGTTCAATATCCGAATCCCCCACTGCCGTACCTGTATCATCACGGGGTGCGAGTAGGGGAGGCTTGCATTTCCTTCTTTTCTGGTCACCCTCTCTGTCCCTCAGGGCCCAACACCAACCCTCTGTGCAGCTCACACTCCAAGAGTGTTGTGAGCTAAGGAGTTGATTAGCATTTGTTAAGCTTAGCACCTGCAGGAAATGGGCTTGAGTCTAGTGGCACCTGGTCTGTCAGACTCATTCGCATCCTACTGTTCTGCTAGGGATTTGGGGGAAGAGTATATATGGCTGAATAAAGGGAGGCTGGAGAGACCTCTTCCACCATTACTGGTCTCCTGTCGGTGTTTCATTCCCTGGCCCTCGCCGAGTCCACGTTACTGGCTCAGCTGGCCGGTACACAAGAGGATGCGCTCTGGACCCTGCCCTGGGGTCACCCCCGTCCCAAGCTCCTCCCTGGGCCCTGCACCCAGAGCCAGATGCTGGCGTGTCCTTGCTACTTCCTAGGCCCAATCACTGTGGCCACCCCGCAGCTCTCTCCTGAAAGAGGTCTGCATGTCCAGGTCCTTCCTGAGGCCACTGAAGAGTGGACATCTACGCCTGCTCTCCAGCTGCTCCTGTAGGATCTTAGTCTTCCATGGTGACGAAAGTAATGTTGGCAAAGCCTCCGTGAGCTCCAGGCACTCCTTCCAGTTTTTCCACCAGCGTTTTCTGCGGCAAATCCTTAGGGCATCTGCTCAAAGAGACGTGATTTCTATTCTGCAGATGAGATACAGGTTGGCGCCGCCTCATAGCTGTGGTCAGCTTGCCACCGCTCCAGGTCAGTGCTTTCCCACCCCAGGAAGCTGGTGGGCACTCGCTGCCCGTTTTTGGTCTTTGGACATGCAGTTATTTAACACAACGTGGATTGCTGCTGGAGTCCCGTAAGTGGTTTTTGGGCCTCTTAGAATTGCTTGAAGACTCCAGGTACCTGACCAAGATGGCTGCCAAGTGTGCTTTTTTTGAGTTTCATTATATTTTGGAGGAGGTGTCCCTGTTTCAAATATGTGGGATGCATTCAGAGCCCTCTGCTTTCTGACCTTTGCCTTTGTCCCCTCTTACACCTTCCTTCTCCTTGCCCTACCTACTCTATCCAAATTCCCTCTGATTTTAGGGAAAGATCACCTTCATCCTTAAAAACTATCTTGAGGGCCCAGTGCAATAGCACAGTGGTTAGGGTCCTTGCCTTGCATGCGCCAGGATCCCATATGGTCACCAGTTCTAATCCTGGTGGCCCCGCTTCCCATCCAACTCCCTGCTTGTGGCCTGGGAAAGCAGTCAAGGACGGCCCAAAGCACCTGCTTGGGAGACCTGGAAGAGCTCCTGGCTCCTGGCTTTGGATTGGCTTAGCTCCAGCCATTGCGTTCACTTGGGGAGTGAGCCGTCAGACAAAAGATCTTCCTTTCTGTTACTCCTCCTCTCTGTGTATGACTTTCCAATAAAAATAAATAAATCTTTAAAAAAAGATCTTGATTGGGGGCTGGTGCAGTAGCCAAGCAAGCTAGTCCTCCACCTATGACACCAGCACCCCATAGGGCTGCTGGCTCAGGCAATAAGAAATGACCATAATAAAGTTAGATCTCAGAAAGTCTGAGTGGAATGCTTATTACTTTTCTTTTACAGCTCAGCAGTGAGCTGATTGCCCCTCGTTGGCTTCTGTACATGAACTTGGGACCGGTTTGCCTTAGTTTGTTGCTTAGGATGTAGCTTTTAGTGATTGGATAGTTTATAGTGCATGGTGCTTAAACTGATTGGGTGTCTGTGTCTCACCCCACTATAGTTGATTAGATAATTTGTATTGTGCACTGATATAAGCTTGCTTAATACCATGTACCAGTGCTCTCTGTTGCTTAAAAAATCCTGGAAATGGTTTACGGAGGCCATTCCCCTGGTCCACTTACAGGGCTACCTGACAGTCTTCTGGTTGGCACTGGCTGGTGAATACACTCCCGAGTTTCCAAGAGTCTGCCTCTGACTCATTTCTGGGATAGATTTGGTCAGCTCGCATCACTGGCTGCTCCGCTTCCTATCCATTTCCCTGCTTGTGATCTGGGAAAGCAGTGGAGGATGGCCAAAATCCTTGGGACTTTGTACCCACGTGGGAAGACAGAAAGAGGCTCGTGGCTCCTATCAGCTCAGCTCTGGCCGTTGCAGCCATTTGGGAAGTGAACCCAATGGATGGAAGATCCTTCTGTCTCTCCTTTTCTATGTAAATCTGCCTTTCAAGCAAAAATAAATCTCTGTCACGCACACACAGAAATGCTAGCATGACACCCTCCTTGACTCTATGTCTGTCAGCACTGGGGTAAACTGGACAGAGCTCAAGCCCTTTGCGGTCATGTCAGTTTCCATGAACGATTCATTTTTTGGTTTCTCGGTGGTTTCCCAAAAAGCTAAGAGAAATCTTTATTTGTATTTGATATACTGTATCTTCTTTTATTTAACTATTGTTTAAAAATATTTATTTATTTTTATTGGAAAATCAGATATACAGAGAGAAGAGACAGAGAGGAAGATCTTCCATCCAGTGATTCACTAACCAATGACCACTCTGGCATTCACTCCGGCAATAGCCAGAGCTGAGCCAATCCGAAGCCTGGGGCTTCTTCCAGGACTCCCACACGGGTGCAGGGTCCCAAGGCTTTGGGACATCCTTGACTGCTTTCCCAGGCTACAGGCAGGGAGCTGGATGGGAAGCGGAGCTGCCGGGATTAGAACCAGCATCCATATGGGATCCTGGTATGTTCAAGGCGAGGACTTTAGCTGCTAGTCTACTGTGCCAGGCCCTGTTTTACTATTTTTTTCTTAAGATTTATTTTATGTTTATTGCAAAGTCAGATATACAGAGAGGAGGAGAGACAGAGGAAGATCTTCCATCCAATGATTCACACTCCCCAAGTGACTGCAACAGCCAGTGCTGCGCCGATCTGAAGCCAGGATCCAGGAACTTCTTCTAGATCTCCCATGCGGGTGCAGGGTCCCAAGCCTTTGGGCCATTCTTGACTGCTTTCCCTGGCCACAAGCAGGGAGCTGGAAGGGAAATGGGACCGCCGGGATTAGAACCGGCACCCATATGGGTTCCCAGCGCATTCAAGGTGAGGACTTTAACCACTAGAACATGGCAAAGTCTTGGTATTTGAAAATGCATCATTTATTTGGTGCCTGTGTTTTAGCCCATACAACTTCCATTTAATATTAAGATTAAAAAAAAAAAAACTATTGGGGGCTGGGTATGAGCATTAGGGAAAGTATTTATTTTTTTAAGATTCAAATTTGTAATTTTTATTGGAAAGGCAGATTTGCACAGAGAAAGAGAGATAGAGAAAGACCTTCCATCCGCTGATTCACTCCCCATGTGGCCAGAGCTGAACTGATCCAAAGCCAGCGGAGCCTCTTCCTGGCCTCACCTGTGGGTGTAAAGTCCCAAAGCTTTGGACCATGCTCTGCTGCTTTCCCAGATCACAATCAGGGAGCTATAAGGAAAGTGGAGGAGCCGGGATGCAAACTAGTGCTCATATGGAATGCTGGTGCTTGCAGCTGCAGGATTAATCTGTTGCACATTGTGCAGTTCCCTGATGAAAATTCTAATCATACAGGGAAAGACCTCCTTATTCCTGGTCTTACAGCAGGCAGGACAGAAACACACCTGAGCTGACTCTGCAAAGGGCGTCTCCTCCACGGTAACCACAGGGTCTCCCCTTGGCGACTACAGGGGGTTCCTCCCTTTTGTTTGAAGGTTTTGGGGGGCAGCAAGAAATGACAAACGCCATTGCCCTGGCTGACCTGATGAAGATAGATGTCAAGGGGCACAGCAGGAGCTTGACAGTTTGCACAAACATTGACTTTGAATGGAGCCTCTGGGTAGTGTGACTGTGTGTGTGTGTGTGTGTGTGTTGGAGGGTGAGGGATCACATCAGGCCTGTCTGCACGAATTAGTCAGGCTGTGCCTTAGGAATGATTTAGGGGATTTTCAGTTAATGTTCAGCCCCAGCCCTCCCAGGAGGTAGAACAGCTTAATCCTTCAGTGTCATTTCCTGCCCTGCCTGTCCCTGTTTGGAACCTCCCTTAGAAACTAGCCTGCTTAGTGGGGTAGGAGGAATTCTTTCCACCACCGGGAGGACCCAGTGATCCCAGCTCAGGAGCCTGGAGTCCAACCGCCTTCTGAGGAGGAGGGCTGCTGTCCCCTGCCTGACCTTCTCTTGCCTGCCTTGACCTCATGTCCCCACAGCTGGCATTGTCTTTCTTCACTGGCTTTTCCTAAGCGATCCTATTTGCTTTCCTGAGATACATTATTTTTTAAAGATTTATTTATTTTTATTGGAAAGTCAGATATACAAAGAGGAGAGACAGACAGAAAGATCTTCCCATCTACTGATTCACTCCCCAAGTAGCTGCAATGACCAGAGCTAAACTGATCCAAAGCCAGAAGCCAGGAGCTTCTTCCAGGTCCCCCACACTAGGCTTTAGGCCATATTCTACTGCTTTCCCATATTACAAACTGGGAGCTGGAAGGGAAGTGGAACAGCTGGGATGTGAACCAGAGTCCATAGGGGAACCCAGAGCATGAGAGGAC